TAGGCTTCTGGGTTTCCCTAGTGAAGAACAGACAAGAGGAATATAGAAATATATTCTATCTCTGAAGAGAGAGTAGGTACTTCACCATCGTCTGTATATTTTATACATTTTTCTGCCCCCTTTTTTAACCCATTCTGCTAGTCTCCATCTTCTTCCTTTTTTACAATGCTCTATTCAATGTGGAGAGCTGTGAAGGACCAAAGAACAGAAAACTTTCTGACGCCACTAGCCATCCAATCTCCAAGTAGCACTACCCATTGTCTGCCTGCTGATTGTATAGACTTGTATAGATTGTACAGATCTTGTCGACACACGAGTTAGGTTTCTGTATTTCTTTTCAGAAGCTGTGCTGAGAATTTCCTAAACTATTACCAAAAGTAAAAAAAAAATAAAATGGAAATAGTATCTCCTGCATTGGCAAAAATCTCAGTGTTTTCATTTTCTCCCTTTCTCTTACTTCGTTCTTTGTAATTGCTGCAGTTGATGCTACAACCATTGAAGGATTACTGTATGTTTGTGTGCTGTTCTTATAAACATGAAATTTCTAAGAACATGAAGCAATAAGACTGACACCCTTGGTTCGTTTGTTCAGACCTGGTTATTGAGGCATAAATAGTGTGCTGTATAACACCATGAAATGACCTAGGAATGCCTATAATACACAGTACAGTGAGACCTAGAAAAACGGAGTACTCAGTGTTAAAACAGAGAACCAGCACTACCTGATTTCCTTGCCCTGGTCTTACAGAGCTTTGGCAAATATCATAGGATTTTTCCTTTCTGCAGGATGGAGTTCCATATGTGACTACCTCAGGGGAGTATGCAAAGCTGGAATATTAACATTAAAAACCCACAAGCTTTCATCTTCATTTTTCCCCTCCTTCCTCCCCGCCCCTCAAAAGAGCTTTCACCTAACTGTGCATTAATTTTAAGCTGTCATGGGTAAAATTCATTGCTGCATTTTATCTGATTTTGTTTTAGGAGTATGAAAACAATATGAAAGTGCATAAAAAAAATGACACATTAAATGATCCCCTGAGTCACTGTGGTCCATCACCTCATATTTAATTACATTTTTAAAAAAAGAAGCATACACTTGAACTGATAGAGCACAATGGCTGCTTTGGTGCTGCTGTAGACATTCACATAAAGACTTAAAGAAACATGAATTACTAACCTGACAGGCCATGACTGTAACCTAAAATAGCCATTATGGTCTCTACTGTGGGTTCTTCTTATTTCATGAACCCCTGACACAATGGATGGAAACAAGACAGAGGTTTATAATAGAAATGCTGACACAACCTTACCTATAGCTGTGCAAATGGTGTCTCTATAATTAAACTTTACAACTTCAGCACCACTAGATAAGTTGCTAGCTTTTAATCATATTAATCAGAGCTTGGATGTTTCAATTGCCATATATTATCACACAGTGTGCACTATAAAAATAAAAAGGTTCCCAGCCGCTAAAGATCACAGCTGTTATGAAACACAGAAGTATATCCAAATGCTTCTCTGTAAGTGCAAATACACTGAAGAAAAACCTCAGCCGGTTATCCTTTTTTTTGTTTGTTTGTTTTCAAGTATATGGGTTCAACATAATAGCCACAGAAAGTACTCTGACTACATTACAAGAACAGCACCGAATAGTAAAAAAGCTTCATTAAGATCTGCCCTGTTTCAGATTTTCCTATCAGCAGTAAAACAAGTCTACTGTCTTCAGTGATAATGACAGTCAGAAGCCTGCTCTTTCAGAGGGAGGCACTGAGATTATTCTTCATGCACTGCTGTTTAAAAGCCAGCTCTCCAGCGACAGCAAGGAGTGGGTGGCAAAACTCTCACTGCTTTCAGTGGTCTGAGATTTGGAGCCTGGGAATGTTTTATGTAAATATTTCTCTTCACATTTTCTCTTCATTTGTCCGAGTGATTTACAGCTTTACTTCGGCAATGAAAGTTTCCTCTCAAAGAAGCTACACTGGTGCAAACTGAACAGATATTGGATAGGAGCTGAAACCCTCTATTTTTACCAAGCGGGTATTGCTAACAACAATACAATTAATCTATAAATAAAACATGGTTGCTTACTACTCTCTATTATCCTGAATTTGCAAATCTTTGTATGCTGCATGGCACTTTACATGTACCATGTGATACATTCCCACACTGTCAATGCCTACTCTTTTACACCACCAGTTTTATAACACCTTCTGTAGACAAATGAGCTTTCCTTTAAGATGGGTGGTACAGTTATGTAGCCTGTGTGCACAAGGGGTCTTTTAAGGAATCAATAGAAAGAGCATGCCTGTAATTATGTGTGGTAGAACAGAGTATGCCATGGACATGCCTAAAAATCAAAAGAGCTGTAGCGATGCATAGGAGTTGCCATAGTGTTATTCTGACCCCTGAAGGATGGAAACAGAGTTAACTTCACATTCTTTTTTTTCCAATTTACTCAGTATACTCTATGAATGTCAAACTCTAAACTACATTAGCAGGATTTATTAGTGCTTACCCAGACTTATCCTCCAGAAATATGAAAATAGTCATGAACTAATGGTGAACCAACTTTAAAATACTGATGTTTCCAGGGAAGCAGAGAAAATTATTTTTCAGGTTAGTTGTAGGGTGAAATTACCATGAGTTTGAAAGTGCATTAAATCTAGTAGCTATGTAAAGATCATGTTTATCAAGAGATGTAAAACTCACTCTGCTCTCACCTCTTCTTAACCGAGAAATATTTTAGTGGCATTTTGTTAGAATGGAGTCAGAGTGAAGTGGGGAAGGACATAGGTCAGTGATGATAAGATCACTCATTTCAGCTGAGTTAAGATTTCATCAGGTTTACATTTTTCAGAAAATGCATCTGTTAGAGGTATGGGGCCTCAGCAGTGCCTTTGTGAGCTTATCTGTCTTCAAGGAGTGCTCTTCCTCCTCCTCCCCCTGAACAGATAGGAAAAGTGATTCAGGATTCTAAAATGGGTATTAAGGCATATCTTGATACTACTATCTTTGTGGACAATTTGCTAAAAAAGTCCATCAGAGTTAAACAGATGGGGCTCCTGTTACACCTTTGCTCTTCACCTCCCTACTTCTGAGACGCTTGAGATGTGCTAATGGACCACCTTTTAGTTTCCTGTAAATCTAACAGGTATATTAGACTGTTGTATCTGACAATACTTTTTTCTAAAGTCAGTCACGCTGTATCCTAACACGCTGAAGCAGCACCCTGCCAAAGCTGTGAGGCAGTCACTGCACACCCGGAGAGAGAGACAACGCTGTCTATGCTGGGCGCTCACACTCAGGGCAAAGTGGCACCAGCGCTGCCTGCCTTGAGCATTGGAAGAGGGGTGAGCAGAATGACGTGCTTGGAGGTAGGTGACGGCGAGGGGGGAGGAGGAGAATCAATTTTAATTTCGGCTTTGTTCCTCCTTCGCTTAGCTGTTGCCATGCACCGAAGTTCCAGGTTGCGGTGTGACCTTGCCGAGGAGCGCGCAGCCCGGGCTGCTCAATGGGACCATTGTGCAGCCTTGCAGGGGCTCTTCGGGAGCCCTCTCCCCGGGTGTGGCTGAACCAGCGCCTCGGCAGCCTCCTCCTCCTCCTCCGTGAACTCCCTGTCCCGGGGAAACTCCGCCAGCAGCACGCTGATGCAAAAGGCAGCCTGCAAGAGGCAAACCCCTTGTCAGGAGCTGAGAAAGGATCTCCCCTCCTCTGCCCAGGTCTCCATCCCCCGCTGCCAGGAGCGCCACAAAGTTAACCCAAGTGATCGATACGCTATAGGAGCATATTATTCCACTATCGGCGACTGATGCCACTGATGTAATCAAGTTACATAATCGCCGTCTTTGCACAAACACATCCATCTTCCTACAGACAGATCTGCATATCTTCTTCCATCCATTATGCATGAACCCACCAGCAGTACATAAGGGTACATATTTTCACACACACCATGTAACTTTAGCATTGCAGTGCATTGCACTGCACAACGTCATCACTATCGATTCCTTAACCTTCCCCCATTCCTTCTTATCAGAACTGATTTAGCGGAGAAAGATTACCTATGTGCATTGCTCGGATTCCTTTAAAGTGGTTCCCTTGCTCACTTCTGTTCCTAAGAAGATGATCTTTTCTTTCCTTTTTTTCCCTGTCTCGCTTGACACCACAAGTAACAGGAATGAATTCCCACACAGTCCCTCAGCGAGATGCATGTATGTACGAAATATCGAAGAGAGCATCTCTGTTTGCACATCTTCCAACTCCCATACACGTGGTCTGAGCTTTCAGTAGGTAAGTTATTGGGTGAAAAAAATATTTTGTAAGAGCAGTTGGATGAGAGATTTTCAGGCTAGTGACATTTACGGTATTTCTCTACTATCGGGCTGAGGGGTTTTTTGTCCTTACTGTCCCTCAGTTAATAATTTCCTTGCAGGAACAGTTGCAATCCCAAATTACCAGTGGCATTTAACCCGTTTAGCACCAGTGCACTGTACCACGATCAATAAGGATCACCACCTTAAAGTTTAACAACTTGAAGAACAGGATTTCTCTACCTCCATTGCAGCTATGAAATGCAGCAGAACGCTGCACAGAGTTGAAAACATTTATTTAACCAGCGGATGGGCTCCGAGCTCATATTAATTAGATTCCATCACGGAGAGCTTCTTCATTAGCACATACCCTTTTCAGCCAAATACATAACAACAGGGAAGATTAAAAAAAATAAATAATAGGGAAAATTAAAGACTCCTTGCTTTTACAGTACTCCCTCAAACCCAGAGGGTGCATGAAGAAGGGAGGAGATTTTTAATTAATTTTTTTATTTATTTATCGCAAAAAGCACTCACCAGAAGAACTACTGCAGTTATTCCACTTAACTACCAATAGCGACTGGAGCCCCCTCGCATCAGGGTAATGCAGCAATCCCGAAAGTGCCCATTTCAGTCACCCGCCACCAAGTTTAGCAATGCCGGGCTTTTGCCTGGATAAAATGACCTTACCCACAGGAGTCTCCCGAAATATCCCTCCGGTGCGATCAGTCAGCGAGGCGAGTGCCGGTCACCACACTGCGCACTCGGCCGGAGAAGCCCCGTGTTTACTCCTGGGGCTGAGCTGGCCGCGAGTGCCGCGGACGCGGTGCCCATCCATCCACCGCTGCCAGCTCCGCCGCGGGCGCAGGTAATTCCATACAGACTTCGGCGGCCCCCCCCGCCCCCCCCCGAGTCGCCCCTTCCTTCCTAGTTCAGAAAGTGCCCGCGTCGCCGGCGGGAGGTACCATCCAGGTGCGGCTGGGGGGGGGAGGGGGGAAGGGGGCGGCCGGCCTGGGGGCCCCCGCGCCGCCCGCGGGCAGCTCCGCGCCCAGCGCGCCGCCGAGGGCCAGATCCCGGCTTCCCGCACAAGTATCCGGCGAGCGACGGTCCGGAGGGGTTTCCTGGCGCTGGGAAAGCGCTGCGGGGGGGGCGGGGGGAGTGTGCTTGCCGGGTCCTAGCACCCGCACCGCAGCGCAAAAAAAAAAAAAAAAAAAAACAAAAAAAAAAACCACACCACCAAAAAAAGATGGTGGGGGAGAGGGAGGTTTGGGGGGGGTAAATTCTCCAGACGCGGAAAAGAAGAAAGGAAAAAAAAATTTTTTAGTTGTCCGCTTGCCCCGAACGATACTAATCCCCGGTGAAAATGACAAGTGATCAGCAAAGAAGAGGAGGTCTTGATTGATAACCACAATCCACCCAAAATATCCTCGGGAGCAGAGGAAGAGAGGGAGGGAGGGAGAGGGAGAGAGAGAGAGAGAGAGAGAGAGAGAGGCGAGAGAAACTGCAGTGCATAGACGATCCCTGTGTTCCTACGAGCCGGGCTGGCTCGCTCGGCGGAACGCGCCCTCCGCCGGGCCGGCAGGAAGGGGCCGGCACTGCCCCCCGATGGACAGCGCCGCACTCGCCGCTCCGCGACGGCTCCGGAGGAGGGATCGTGCTGGGGGGAGCCGGGGGGGGAGGGCCCTTCGGAAGGGATCCTGGAGAAACTCCTGGGTGGTGGGGCCTCCTTCCCTCCGCCCCGGCGTCGCCCGCCTCCCGCGCCGCCTCTGCCCGCAGCGCTCCGCGCCCGCCCGGGACGGGGCTGGGGCAGGGCAGGGGCACGGGAGGATGAACGCGACACGCGCGGGGGTCACCCTTCTTCTCTTCTCCTCTTGTGCTTTATTTTATTTTTCTCCCCACCTTCCCCTCCGGTTTCCGAAGCAAAGTGCTTTAGGAGAGATGATACATTATCTATTCTTGGATTTTTATAAGGCAAACTGTGGGCCTCGCTGTTGCCATGGGATCTTCTTTGTGCGAACTCTCTGAACTGTGTGGGAACAGTTTTATTTCCTTCCCTTCAGATTTTTGTCGGGTTTTTTTCCCTCCTTGTCTTCTGTAACTCTTCCGAAGATATGTATCAAAATGTAACTGCATTATTGCCAATTAAGATTAACAGCAGCTGCAAGGTGCATCTAATTAGGAATGTTAATTACTTCATGAAATAAATAGTCATTTGCAGATGTTTATTACACTAAACAAATGTTCTATAAAACATAACTCTCAAATTCTGACGCTCCCCCCAATAAATTTGATCCCATTTCTGCACAAAGTTGCAAGGGAGTAGGCACCCCTCTTCCATAGCATTAGTCCTGCAGGTGCACACTCACAGGGAAGAGAGACACAGAGTTGCCTGTTAGTAGGTACGTGGTTGGGTCAGAGGCATTTTGTACTCTTACAACCTGTTGTATGGGGTGGGAGTGTGGAGAAGCAGGAAATATCTATGCAATGTGAGATAAACAGATAAGTAACTGTACATATTTATGTCTACGTAAATGGCATTCTCCAAAACAGGGAAACAAAACAACCAGGCAACATTCAGTTACCTCTTAATCCATCGTGGCTTCCTTTTAGGGCCACAGAGAAAAATTCAAACTGCACCAGTTGTTAAACCCCCAATATCTTAACAAGAGAAGAGAGAAAAGAAAAAGCAGCACGTGGGAGAGCGTGATTTTATTACGGAACATGATAAAGGATTATCGATAGGCAGATAAAGTGCCATGCAGAGTTAGTGGGTTGCAGGAGAGGTAGGAGCTGTTGCAGAATTTGTGAAACTTGCTCACACCCCACCCCACCTCTCCCTATGATAATATAATGACATTCTTCATGTTGGACAAAAATTAGAAGAAACTAGAAATGAATGCAGCAACCAGTAGTCAAAATTCAGTGTTAAAACACGAAAATTAATGTGACTAGTTAAACCAGCCATTCAGATACTACTATGATGAGTGATCCACATGCGTAGGCAGGTAAAAGTGGCATGAAAAACTTCATGGGATTCTCTTTGTGGATCAGTACAGGGCATTTTAAGTTAACTAAATGACTCATACCATCTACTTTAGAGAGCTGGTTTGGGTGCTTGATTTAGACACCCAACCATCCTAGCTGTTTGACAGAGTGAGAGGAAGGGAAAGAGAGAGGGGCTCCCAACTTTGATTCTCATTATCCTTTGAGAGAGCTGCTTTCTCCCCATGGAGGTGCTACAACAGACTTCCAGCACAGGCACCTCCACTATGGAACTTCAAGAGTGTTCTTCGTGCCTGGACAGAGCATCAAATGCTTGAGGCTGTTCGTGCTCTACGAGCAGAGAGTAGTAAGGAGGTACTTGGGGCTATTGTTAAGGCGTATTTGCCTTCAGTTCCTGGTGCTTTACAGATTTCTCTTCCACTGATAACCAAGTTATTTAATCTCTCTGTCCTTTTGTTCCTTCACTGTATAATGTGAATTAACACTGTTCTTATGAATAAAGGTGCAGTGAAGATAAAAAGGCATTAATGTTTTTTAGGTGTTCTTATACAGCAGTCATGGGAGCTATATAAATTCCCAGAGAAGCTGATTAAGGGTCTGGCAGGAGAAAGGGAAAATGAAAAAGGGTGGAAGCCAAAAGCTGTGAACAAAATACAGTGGAATTGCTAAAATGGCTGAAACTAGACTAATAACACAGAAAAGCTGTAGACCATTCACACGTGCAGAATACAAAGCACCTGCGTTCTTGAGTTAAATTTGTCCCTGGGTTAAAGAAACTGGATTCAGTTCATTTCTCAGTTATGGAATTGTTATGAATAGCAATGCAGTTGTATGAATGCAAGTGTAAGAGGTTTTAGATTTAATTTTTTTCTCAGCCATATACCTAATCTCTAATTGGTTTCATCCTCACATTAATAACTAGGGTTTGTATAATACAGAAGGAGATCTCCTTTGTCCTCATCATGACTTGAGTGTTTTCAAGATATTTCACCAAAGAGAAAAGCAAAATCTTGTGGTTTTCTAAACATTGTTTTAATTCCATGACATTCAATGCATGCTGAATGGTTTAATATGAATGAGTAGTGTATCTTGTGTGTACTATGTGTGTGATCTTGAGGCATTATATCCCTTGAGATAAGGAAGAGGCACAAACCACATCTTCATCTATACTTCAGTAAGTGTCTTTAAAAGGATCATTGCATTTAATGTGTTTTAAGGAAAGTGAAACAGTGCAGTCAAAGTAAACTTCCCTTTCTAAAACTAATACATATTTAAAATGAAAGGGCTGACAGAGCATGTGGCTCTGAAGAATGCTAACATCGTGCACAGTACTTTTTGTTAGTAAATCCATTCTGCTCGGAGGGGCACCAGCCAAGAGCTGATACCACCCCTTAGCTGCAAGGTGTCCTTCAAAACCTCATAGCCTCATGCTTACCCTGCTGGGAAGTCTGTCCAGAGGGTCTGAAGACTGGTAGGTCTTTCACCATCTACCTGTGGATTTAGGTAGTAAATAGTTTTCCATTTCTGTATTTATTCCCCACTTTTTAACAAATGCTATGGGAGAAACAGACTAAGTACCACAGTAAAACATCAGCACTCGCACATTCTCATCCTGAGTGTGCATATAGAATAGAACTATGACACGATATAAATCTAACAGCATGCAAAACAAGCAGAATTTTTTGGATTAAAAATGTAATGAAATTAAAACTCCAAAATATGCTTACACTCCCCCACTAAAAATACCAAACAGAAGCCCTGCTCCTGTAAAAATCTACATCTGAACCTTGTAACCCTGTAAACTGCATTCTCAATCCAATTACTAAACAGTTTCAGTAAAGAAAAAGGTCAGCATTTTATCTATTTCTTTCTTTTCTTTTCCCCTTTTCAAAACAAAATTTCATTGATTTTATTACAAAATGCTTCCCTTTTTGTCCACTTCTGACATGACTAGGTGGTCTGGAATGCTTCAGAGAGAACAAGGTAAAACCTGAAATCTGCTATGTGATTAACTTTTCTGTTCTCCTTGAATTCTTTTGTATATTTTATGTTTGTATATTTTATATTTTTAATTTATACATCTTAATTTATATGTACTTACATTTCATTTATTTTATGTGCTTTATATAATGTACATTACATATTACATATTTTTATTCAGTCATGACAAAAGTGTTCAAGAAAGCATATATTTTAAAAAGAATAATCCCTAATTCCATGTCATGTGAAAATTTCAAAAGCAATTTCCTTTACAGAGGAGCCTGATTCTAAAGAGTACATATCTAGTCATGGAATAATACTCATCTCATAATGAAGAGACTTAATCACAGAAAGTCTTGTTTATAGTCTTAATTGCAATTCTGTTTTTCTTTTCCTGAACCTCATGTACCTTTTCATGAGTATAAGCATGCTGTATTCATTGCTGAGCTGTATTGTCCCAAATGCCACAGTTTTACCATGCTTTTCTTGTTGGTGCCATTCTTGTGTGACTAATTCAGCAGCTTTGTGCAGAGCATGTCAGACAGCTCAGGCTATTTGGTGCACAGCTCTGCCAGGGCCTTGCTGTCTCTCTGTGCAGCCCAGACAAGCCTTCTGCATCGGGTAGTCATCAGTTGTAGGTGGCCTGAGCAAAGCACTATGGCACCTGTGGATGAAAAGTGACACTGCATGAAAGCTAAATGTCTTGTTACTACTTGAGTGGGAGGGTACTTTCATTCAGAAAGGCATTCCTTCAACACATACATTTCATTGATTCTTAATGTTTAAAGAAGATGGAATTATATATATAATATATAATATATATATATATACACACAGATATAAAAAATTGTCTTTGTTGTCCTGCAACTTACTGCTTTAACCTAATTTAGCAAAGGATAATCTCAAGGTAATTAAATGCTCATCTCTTGCCCATTTTTAATTTTGTAGAATAAATGGTTACTTGCTGTTCCCCTAGTCTCTCATTAGAGTATCTCAAATAAAGATAATACCCATCCATAAGCTGCTTAGAACATAAACCTCATCTATTTAGTTAAACAGTTATCTATCACAAGGTAGGATAGATAAAATGGTGGGGTGCATTCGTGCATTAAAAAAAATCTATATGTTTCAGTTAAGA